GGTTGCCCTTCTCTTTCTTTTCCACTTTCATGCTCATCAAAATATTTGTAGTAAAGTCCATCTGTTGACATACAAAAAGTGTAGTCGAAATTGAATAGTTCAAGGGACGAATCCCGATTAGGAAACCTAGGATGAAGGCCCAAATAAGATCATTAATGAATGCAGTGAAAGCCCAGGAACAAGGTACCATCATCGCCCGAGCTTGCAAGACGCCCAGAATTCGAGTGAATGGAGTGCCTTAAGATCGTCCAGAGTGAATGAGCTCGTTCTCGCCCAAATTTTCGAATCGCCCAGGATCTTAGCAAACACAAAACATTATGGTTATCAAGAACAACAGTTATTAAGCAAACTTATCACACTCCACGATCTAAGAATCACGGTTGTAGGCAGTTAAACGACAAGAGAAATGGCAACAGTTAAAGACGACAGTTCCATGATAAATCGGCTATCATGAAGAAAATGAGTAGTTATAGAGTATCAAACAGTGTCTTCACAAAGAAATCATCAAGGGAATATAAAAGGAAATGAAGACATAGAGAAAAAAAGACCCCGAATCAAACACTCTCAACAGAGAATATGTAATTTCAATTTCTTAGTTTAACTTTAAAACATTTATTTAGTACTCGTGTACTTGCGCCCCTTAGAGGCATTCTGTTTATTTCCAATAAAACACCCCTTTTTGGGACTTTATCTCAAAAGGTCTGTTCCTTAGACAATCGTCTGAACCTTTTTTAATTGTTAGCGACAACCTACGTGAAACAATTTGGCACGCCCAGTGGAACATTGGTGTTTGGTGTTTGAGGATACAAAAAGTGAAATAATATGTCTCATAAGTTTGATAAGGAACCAGTAAGTTAGGAGTAGTCCAGTCTGTGATCGAACGATATGAGGAGCAGTAGAGCTCTCCACGAACAGAAGGACAGAGTCAAAGCAGTCACAGTCAGTACGAACCAATGACGGAGTTGAGTCCTCGAACCATATGTGCGTTGTTTGGGGAACTCACATAGGATGTCGTTGAACGGGTAAATCTACGAAATGTTCATAATATGGAAAGATTTACCCAAAATGGGAATGCACATTATGAAAACATGGTCAAACAACTGAATACATTAAACGAAATAATGAACAAGTTAGTAGGCCAAATGTGTCAGCCAGTTGTGTCTATTGCAAACCACTTTCAAACTAGGATGATTGTAGGACATAATTCCCCAGTCCTAAGTCCAAATCAAGGGATAGAACCNACGGGTAAATCTACGAAATGTTCATAATATGGAAAGATTTACCCAAAATGGGAATGCACATTATGAAAACATGGTCAAACAACTGAATACATTAAACGAAATAATGAACAAGTTAGTAGGCCAAATATGTCAACCGTTGTGCCTATCGCAAACCACTTTCAAATTAGGACGATTGTGGGACATAATCCTCCTGTCCTAAGTCTAAATCAAGAGATAGAACCACCTTTTGGTCCGTCTACTTTGAACTGGGGGACGGTGCAGTGCTAAACTTGAATAGTGGTAATGGTACGTCAAACCGGGGGGTAACGTAAATATAAGAGACAATGTCCTAAATAATGGACAGAATACCCCACGTGTTAAT